GAATATAAAGAATCATAAATTGCAACTCATCCTTTCTCTTCAGTGATATAAATAATTCATGAATGCTTCCATGAATCCTATAAAAAATAGCATTAGGGCACCTTAATGAATAAACTAATCCACTGCTAGGAAGAAACCCACCGCCCAAATAAGAGAATGCATGCTATTATATGAAGCATAGATCTATGGTCCAAATTACCTGCAATCTCTCTGATAGCTCCAGGAGTTAAATTTCTCTTCAAATGTTGAGTAAAATTTTGTAGAAGCAAGTGGAAATTGTAACAATGAGGTTTTAAAAGAAAGCCTGAGTATTTTAAATATAATCTATGTGTCAATTGACAGAAGCAATACAATGTTGTTTGGTATTTTTAAACAGCATCAGCATTTTCAAGAAATGCAGAAGAAAAGCATATATCTTCAAGATAATAAACATAATTTAAGTGGTATATTCCATGCCACATTTTCTACTAATGAGTAAAGATGGAAAAGTCAGCACATAAGCCAGAAATAAAAGAAAGTTTTGGAAAGCCATTTATCATACAATTCTAATTAACATAGGAAGATTTTACAAGGTCTGGATAAATATTTAAGAAGGGCAGGAGAAAATTCATGTGTAAAGTAAGTGCAGTCATTTAAAAAATTACTTTTTTCCAGTATAGTATTAACTATGTATAAAGCTTAATTTTACATACAGGCCTTGGGAAAAAGCTCTAAAGATAATTTTTTTGGGAAGCTATTTGTTGAGAGTTCTGGGAAACAGTGCAATTTGTTAATGGAAATCACAATAGTCATCCTTTAACACTGCACATTGCAGCAGAAATGGGATTTAAAAGCATCACTATGGGCCGTGGTACCATAGTCTATAACCTATGAATCCCTGCCCTGTGGAAGCCACTAGAGCTTCAGTGCTTGGTGATACATGGTGCTAATGAAATATCTTAGTGTGTTGTTTTTAGATGCTGTAGCTTAGCATACTTTTAACAAAGACTCACACTTATAATGCTAGTAAGAGGATCTCAAAAGCTGTGGAACAAAAGTGGTTATCTTTTGTTCCAGGAAGAAGGAAAAGCCAGGAAGGAAAATTTGCACCCCACCTCCCTTGCAGATGAGACTCATTCTTCTCCAATTAGTTTGCAAAAAGGAAGCTGGTTAGCAGAACCTTGTTGGAATTTGAAAATGTTCATACATTCGCTGAAAAACATTACATTTGACTTCAAAATTTTCATAGACAGACCCTATTGTACAACTGAGCTTCGGCATTGGATGTACCACTTGCAGCCTGTCTAATTGCTAGCTGCAAATTATAACCTTCAGAAACAAAACTATTTGGAGAGATCATGGGTTATGTAGAACCAGATGACAAACAGCATCCTTTTAAAACCACCTGAGGGGTAAGAAAATGTAGCTATGTTTTACAGGAATATTAACCAAAAATGTGAGGCAAATTTTTCAGAAAATTATTAACAGTACCTACTGTTCATCTTAGCTACAACAGACACAATGAATAGGACAATGTATACCAGCTGTGAATAAATAATTGCTTCCAGTGTAAGCATAAAACAAAAAAAGTGTTATAATTTTGGGTACATCATGTGCTAACTGATGCTAACATGTGATAAAAAGCAAATATTATAAGGATGACTATGGAAGATAATTACTGTAGACAGTTGTCTTGCCCCAGTCTGCATGAAAACTCTCTAATAGCAATCCAGATTGCTGCACTGTTTAAAGGTCCCTTCTACTATTGCTAATCCATTGGAGCAAAATAAAATATATAGTCAAAAAACTTTTCCCCCAGTAAAACCAATATTTAAAGAATATTAAATCTACTCTTTAGGTTTAATATAGGCCCATTTGGTATCTCTCCCCTATCTAAAAGACCACTGCCTGATTCAGAGAGCTTCTGCTGTTTGTAAGGAGCAAACCACCTAAATTTAGTTGTCTATGCATTAGTTATCTACATAGGAGCTTTTTGTGAGAGTCAGTTGCCTAATATAGGCATTCTTGTAGTGACAAGAGGGGTTCCTTCCTCACCTTGAGCTCCAGACAGACAGAGCTCTCCTATCAATTTTGTGTTGTATCTGTCAGCCCTGGCAGATTAATCACCAGGTTAGCTGGCAGGCTGGATTTACTAGAGCTCCACAGACATCTGGCTCACATATAGACATCCAAATTCAAAAGTCCTAATTCTGACTTGAATCTTGTGCTCTGTAAGATACAGTATAATGTTTATTGTTTGTAAGCATGTTTTAATAAGGAACTGACGTACCTTAGAAGTATCCTCCAGCTTGACACAATTTAAAACCAAGACTTCATATTCAGAAGAATAGTTAATGTAACTGATTTGGTTAATTCTATCCCTATAAAATTACTGTTAAACCTGTTGTAAACATAAGGATTCCCTTGATAATTTTATGTGTATTCTATATTGTAATTTATAGAGAAAATTGACTTTTAAAAAATATTACAAATTGCCATAATATTTAAAAATATTACATAAAATCAAAATAATTTCTGTGCAGCATTTATGTGAAAAGCAGATAAACTACATACACACTTTTTCATAGAAACTATTGCCTTCACATAATCAAAACAACAATGAACCACTTAGCAGACATTGTTTTTGAAAAGTTCAACTCAACCAACAACAGTGACTTATACCATATCAATAGTCACTATTGGAACTGTAGACCAAAGCCCTTCTCTATTACCCTTGCATGATTACATATAAATATTAGCTACACAAGCCAAGTTCTCTCAATGGATCCAACTCTCCATCTCAATTGTCCCTGCAGTTTAAAGTCAATGTGTGTTACTATTCCTCATCAGATATGAAGTGCTTTGTGAGATGGTGTTGGCAACTAGAGCTGAAATCAGCTTTGCCAGAGTTCCAGATGTTTTCATTCCCTTTGATATATGTGTCATATGCTACAAAGACTGATAAATGAGAGCTTATTTACCATCTAATGATGGAAAGCTACAGTCTCACAATTTTTCTCTTTTATATAAGGATATTTCCAATAAGTACTCATGAGAGGCTGCAGTTTCTCATGGTTGCTCTGTGTCAGAGCCACAGCCGTAAGCTTTGAGAGAAAGACGCCACCTTAATATACACATTTCTACTATGTATCTGAATCTGATATTTGTTACATACCTAATTGTACACTTGTTTAATCAGGGGACCAATTTACTGTCATCATATTATGTTTAGATATAGTCCTGAATATGTAGTACATTCCTACAATCCATATGACAAAATGGATATGAAAGAAAATATGAATTTCCTTGGGAGAACAGACACTGAGTGACAGAAAATACTGAAAACCATATATTCAATTCCCTTGGAAACTCAGACCATTTATTTTCATATATAGTACAACACATTTTTAAAGTCATTTATTGCCTGTGCATTCACTGTGGAATTTAGTGTAAAAACAGACATATATTGCAGTTGTCTAACTAATTTTGTCTTGTGTAAACAACTAATTGTGTGAACAACTAATTGTTCAAATGCATTAATGGTTTGAAAATAATTCACTCATTCTCTTCCACAACTCTTCCCATCTAGCTCTTCTTTCATTATTATTTAATTGAATTTCCATTTTTCAGCTTTAGCTGTTCCTCATAGGAAACTGGAATAACAATATTCAGATTGTGTTAATGGTCACGTTATGCTTGGTTGATTAAATGTACTTCTAAATGTTTTACTATCACATATACTCAAAGTTTGTACAATATTTCTAAGGATTTTCGTCAAAGAAGGCTATGAAAGTCCTATTTCAATTTAATTTCATTGTGTGTTTTTTCACTCCTTAATATCCATGCAAGTTTCACTGATTTTTTCAAACTCCAAATAACAAGGCGACACTGTAAAGACCTGGTCCCATGCCCAGTGAAGAGAATTTTGATTTAATTTGATCATGAATGGGAGGGATTAGACGAGATACACAGATAAAGTGCAGTTTCTTCAGAGAAGAAAGGGATGATTAAAAATATCTAGCTCATAATTTCTAAAAAGGATATATTAATATCTTAATTGCAGATCCTATTTTTAAGAAGTTATTTTAAGAAAGTAACTTTTTCTAGCTTAATATTGGGAAAAAATTACTGTAGAGGTCTCTATTTTACTTTATTTCACATTATTCTGAATTACAGAATTATTTGTTAGTACTTTGTCTGTGGCTGTTTTGAGTTTCTGCCGTAAGGTTGAATAAAATGACACCAGTAAATGGACATAAACCAAAATAGCTTCAATCCAATTCTATTGCTTGTGTGACTTATTTTTAACAGTGTGAGAAGCACACGTCAGGTGAAGATTGAGAACGTGAAGGGAATGGTAAAGTCACCAGCAATCTCCACTATTTATATTTTCTGGCTTCAGAATCATCTCTTTGGGGTGCAAAATTCCTTTCTGTATGTGTGTACAGTTGTGTGTGCAATACAATTGTGTGTTGCTGTTCACCCTTTCAAACAAAAGAGAACAGTCTGAAAACTACTATACAGGAAAAAAGTCTTGTCCAAGTTCACAATAGTTACATGACTCCACAGTTCATCATCATACACTGGGAAGAGATAAACTTCAAGTTTACTTATAATCCTTCCTCCACCACTTTTAACATTTATATATATGTATATATATGTGTGTGTGCTTTACTTAATTTTATAGTAAAATGGAAATTCAGATTATTTAATTATTTATGGTATCTGACATATTTGTTGGTTCACTCCTTTTTCATGTCCAATAAGAAATTTGGGAATCTGTCATTGGCTCTTGGATTTTGGTTTGTTCACAAGGGAATAGAAGAAGGGAATAAATCACTAAGCAGAAGGTTGTATTAATCTTAAAACCACCTTAAACAAGCTTTACTCAGAATGTAATTTATCTTTTTTTTTTCTTTTTTTTTTTTTTTTTCTGGCAGTTCTAAGAAAAATGAAGGGAACACATGGGACAGAGTATTAAAAAAATGAACCTCAAAAGGGGAGAAAGTGTTTTATGTTACCTCCTGGTTAGCAGCAGCTAGTTCTTCTTCCAGTGCAGAGACTCTTTCTAAAGAAACCCTCAGTCGTTCCCTTACCTAGAAGAAAAATCAAAATATGTGCAGTAACGTAATTTCTGTCAGTCTTTAAAGATTATATAATCTGCCATATGCACTACTGTATGCCTCACCAGTCTGCTTGCAGGCATGTGTGTTGCCTCCTTTCTTGAGACATACTGTGTAGTAGACATTAAACCTAACTATAGGAAGACTTTTCCCACAAAAATAGGTGTCAAAATTTAAATGCCATACTGCTTTTCCACAGTTTGCCTATAATTTTATGGAATACACAGCAAATGCAAATATTCAAAAACCACATTAGGTGTAAAAAGAAAATGTTTTTCGCAAGCATGTTTTACAAAGGGTAAGGAAAAAACCCTTGTTTTAAGTCCGCTCCATGGAAGACAAAGAATCAGTTCATATTAATTGAATGCAACAAATTCATTGAAAAAATAACTTGCAGCATTGCCTTCAGGCACACATATTAAAGATTTCTGATATCATTATGCAGTTTGTTTGGGTTTTGCAAAAAGTCATAAACAAGATATACTCTCATAAGCAGAAAAGACTGCTGTGTTTGTACCAGTTTCATAGATTACCTCCTTCTGTTCAAAGGATGTTTATGATCTGCTAAATTATTACTATCATATTTATTATTGAACATTAATTATTAATATTAAAGAATAATAATTTAATATATATGGAGATATATTTACTGCTGTTTGAGTGCCCTGGCTCAACATCAGCTCACATAACAATAGACAATTAAGCTAGCAACGCAGTGTGCCAGTCTGCAGATATGACCAAAGGCAAACCAGACTTTTAAAGTGATCTTCAGTGCTGCGTGTAGGTGATGCTCTCTCCTGACTATGAAGGAAGCCTGTAGGAACTCCTCTCCTAATCGAAACAACTTCATTAGGCACCTCACATTAAATGACTTTACAACCTGACTATTCAGCCAACACTTGGGATATATTCCTATCTCCATTCGAGCTACACTGTGGTCATGCTGTTCCAGTAGATGATCCATGGATGTTTAAGGCTATTAGCAATGTTTTTGGGGAAAGTTAGCATATTGTATTAGACCAACAGATGTAGTTAGAAAACAAAGCAAAACAAAAACCAGTTTTTTATTGTATGTGCAATTGCTTTCAGGCTCTTAACAAATACAGGAGACCCTTGAAAAAGATGAGTAGGCCCTAATGATTTCATACTTTTTCCAGTGATACCTTTTAGTCTAACCTTAGATGCTTTCCTGACATGCTTTATTTTCCATTACTACTGACAGAAGTGGAATTTTGCAAACAGACTCAGTACATCCCAAGATTGCCTTAGATTTTAATAAATGGAAATTACTTACTAGCAAAACTATAACATAGCATGTACACTGATTTTGTCCCAATTAAACTTTAAAACTAACTAAGTCTAAAGATCATATACATATTCTGGAAATTAACATTAAAAAATAAAACTATTTAGCCTTTCTAACAAATACAAATCTAGTTGCTTATGCTGTACTTTGGGGTTTTGGTCCTCTTTACATACTTCAGCTCTATTAAAAGAAACAAAATTTGAAAATGTATTTCATACATTCACATAAATTATTAGAATACTCTCCGGTAACTATACTTTTACTATACACTAAACAATGTTACTAGCCTTAATAGAACCAAAATCAGGAGTGAGAGTACTCAAATGAGCAAAAAAAAAGTGAGTTAAGAGTGTTAAGGTATGAGAAAACCCCAAGAGTAGAAAGAACCCTCAAACTTATAGTCCAATATTTGATTTATTAATTTCCCTCTATCCCTTCAGCACTATAAGACAAAAAAAAAATCAACTGTTAATGTTCCCGAAGATGCATATTGTATCCTAGATGGCCATTTCCTATAGGGTATGACTCTCACTGTTCCTCACCTGATGCAAATGAAGTTTAAGACATCTTGAATCAGCAGTGACTGAGCCGTCTCTGAGCGGTAGTGATAAGAGTGAAAATTACAAATTTTCATGATTTTTTCAACTGTTTTCTTACACTAGAACAATAGAATGCAGTGAGAATATGCAATGGAACCCAAAATGTTTATCCTATTTACTAACTTTTTGTACTATTTTTCATCAAAGATGTATGCAAAACCCTTTAATCACAAAGCTTGCTTTCCAAAATGAACTACATAATTTGTGGAAAACATGGTCATAAAGCTTCAGTTTTATAGTAGTACATAAGCTATCATTGTAATTTTATATAAATTTTTAAATATTCAATTCTACCACACTTAAAATATGTAAAATTAATTTGAAATATTACACTTTCTGTTCTAATTTATTAATAATTTCAATCTAATTATATTTTTCATAAAAATACTTTACATCAAATGTATAATGCATCAGTTACTCTGGCTATAGTTGAAAAACTGTAGTTGTTTAAATAGCTGAGAAAGTGTTTCTTACTTAATTAATCTTTCCTTTTTTCTATTTTAAAAATCATATTATGCTTGAAAAACAGCATTATTTCACCAGTTTTTCTACTAAATTCCAAGGACTGCTCAACAATCTGTTCCCTATCCAGGTAGACAAAATATCCAAGGCATTATGAGTCCACTTATATGGCCCTTGCTTCTCCCTTCTCCCCCTACTCCTATGATGCTCTTTGTCTTCCCAGATGTTCCTGATTCCTCTGTGTGCCCCCAAACTCTCTTTCTGTATCCTGCTTCTCTTCCCATTTCTGTCTTTCACTAGTTCTCCATGTCCTACCAGTGAGGGTTGTAGTCCTGTCTCAAGAGGCCTGGTTTCAATCTCTCTATATACAGTGGGAGCTGGTTGACAACAATTTCTTAATGGAAAGTTCAATCTAGATGTAAAAAAATACATAGAAAAATGACAGCCATCTTCCTGGCTTCAGTCCTTTTGACTCTAAGCACTGCTGAGGAACAAGATGATTGACAGAAAATTCAAAGATGGTAGTTGTCAATAGCTGAAATTAGATGCAATGAGTTTGTAATTTTATTTAAAATTTTCCTAAGTTTCCTGAAACCTCCATGTATTCAAGCCTAAGTGTTTTAGAAATGAGAATTCACATTTAAAAAATATGTTATGTCACTGGCATTCACCTTAATGGTGTTAGAATTTGCAAACCAACTAGGCCACATTACTGAGGAGGTCACAGCTCCACAAGGAGCTGGCAACAGAAAAAAATATCCTTAACCTTTATACACTGTGGCAATGTAGAACTGGATCCTATGGATATTTTAAAGCCTGAAAAGAACACTACCTGGAAATAACAGGCATTTGTTTTGAAGAAAATTTAGAAGACTCATTTTTATATGGTACTTGAGAAAAAATAAGTAGAGAATTAATGTCTTCATTCTGAATATCAAGCTATTATATTAAAAACAATATTTTTTTCCATTCTCGTCCCATTGTCAGTAACAACATAGAACAGTATCAGTGTGACACAGAGTGACAGCTGGAAATTGTTTCCTTTGCCTTGCCTTGCCTCCCTTGTATGTGCACAGTTAATACACTGCCTTTTTTATAATGACCTAACCAAAATTGCAGTCTGATAACCCTTATTTGTTCTTTGAATACAAGAGTTGCTAAAGGAACTGAAAGCACAGAAGGCTTCTTTTTTCCTTTCATCTGACCAGTGAACAACTAATTCAGATTCTCGTTTGCCACAGTGACATTGGAAATGTAACTAATTTTTCATGCTCAACCCCACACATAGAGGCTGTTAAAGTTGAGAGAAATCTTTGATTCTATCGGTGAAAAAGAGGAGAAGTGCTACATTAGTGCTCTGATCTGAAGGAGAAATCTTCGCTGGTTTACAGCCCAGAAACCGTAACTTTATATCTCACTTGATTTTTTTTTTTTTCCTCAGTCTTCAATTAATTTCAAGATAAACTTGAACACAAAAGCTGAATAAAGTTTTCAGGTTTGGTCATTCACATTCCAGGAAAGAATACAGGCTACAAATGTCATACATAGATGTGATACACATATATTTTGGAAAAAGATTTTACTCTGAGCAATATTTAACAGTTACTAATTGTATTAAGGTTTTCCTGAACTTTGTAAGTTCATATTGAATAACCTTTGAATCTAAATACGGGGCAACAGCCAAAGCCTCTGAAAAGCCATATAGAAATGTATTGCAAAGAATTTTGTATTGGATTCCCTCTTCAAATTTACGTTACAGCAAACAAAACAAACAGAACCATCTTCATTTCTGAGAGGTGCAGGAAAAGCTGTTTTTCCTGGTCACTATCTTCTTAGAGTCAAAGGAGCAGGAACAAATACAAACTATTTTTATCTGATAATTAAATGGGGTTTTTTTGTTTTTTTTTCATATAACGAATGGAAATTAATGATTAGAATATTACACTGTTTTCTCTTTTCTGGAAGTTAAAGACAGTAAGTGAGCAAATATAGTTCATAGAAGTACGCACTATCTTAGTGAGACTGTGTCTCACTAAGGCAACACTTCAGAAATTACGTACTACTTAAATTTCATATGGTCCTTCAATATATTTCTGTTTTCTTGGGCACTAGACAAAGCTTTATTAAATAACATTCCACAAAGTAAGACTAATCAGATATCACCTGATCTATCAGAACATGCTATAATATGCATTTTTAAAGGATAGATTCCCATTACAGTGACACAGACACAGCAGAAAAGGGATGCTTTCCATGTTAGAGGCTGTATCCAACATGTGCCCAGATGACTGGGTATTCCTCTGGCTTTTAAATGCAACCACACCATCTTGAAATGTAAGATAGTCAATGTCATGTTAGCACTGCAAAATATCACCCATCTTTCTCTGTCTCCTAGCAACTGCTTCCCACTTTTTTCCTTTCTGTCAAATTCTTTCTTCATTCTCTCCAGATCTGCAGCCCACAAAGAGCTTTTAAAAAACACTTGCACATGCTAGAATTGACTTTTTTTTCATCAGCAGTCTATTGAATAAAAACACTCCTAGCTACCTGCTAATGAATAAAAAGATAGTGATAATGTTGATATGAACAGGCTTTTTTTATTCACAAGTATATTAGGTATACTTTTCTGCTATGAGTTAATTTTAAGAGAAAGAATGGTTTTTGAATCTTAGCTAGCACAATAACACCTAGTAGTTTCTCTCCTCTGTGAAGATCAACTGGACACTCACTAAGATGTACCTATTGGGTTCAGCCAAGCAGGACTAGCTCTCTAGCATGGGAAGCTCACTACAAGCTTTCATTCTACAGGGGGTGAAGGGATAGACTTCTTGAAATAAGGTATCATTTCTCGTTCTTATACTTAATGAGGCCTCCCTGGAAATATGAACCCTAAATTGATATGTTTAGTTTTCCATCTTCCATTCTGTTTTGTATTTTCCATTGCATTTTGTTATAGTAATGAGGACATTTTTGTAGTTCTTTTACTGTATACATGGCAATCCTTGCATGAGAAGTCAAATTTTGTGGCGGAGCTTGTTATAACACTTCGAGATGTTTTAGTGTAGGAAGTGAAAACTTGAAAGAAAATTTGCATTTAAGAAGAATGTAAAGACTGTCTTGGGATTTTTGTAAGTTTAAAAGGCATACATTTTTATGAAAATGTTTTGTTATGCTTTTTCAAGGGCGTAATGGCTAAATTATTTGTTTCAATGTCAACATTTTTTGTGAAAAAAGTTTCCAATATTCATTTGCAAAGGGCCATGATACAATTCGATGCACGTTTGACAGTTTTTATTACTCTTTATCCATTAACCTACTTCATTTTTGGGTGAATTTTCTGATACAGCAGTGTTTCTTTCCTATGACATCATTATATCATGTATCATGGTTTTTGCCTCAGTATTTACTGCAAAGTGATGCCCTCAGGCCTCCCTGAGCATAGCAGAAGAATCTGTGGTAGTGAAGCATAACCCACAATACAAGAGGACAAGATACACATAAGGCAAAGGGAGTAGATTGGCTGCATCCAAGGGTGCTGAGAGACTTGATTAACTCAATGTAATGAGGCCTTTTTCATCTTTGAAAGGTAATGGCAGTCAAAGGAGATTCCTGATGAGTGGAAAACCCACAAATATTGTATCCACCATCATGAAAGGTAGGAATTATCCTGTGAAGATCTAAGGAAATAGAAGCTGGCCAGTGTTGGGGAAGTTATGGAGCAAATCTTCCTGGAAGCTATTTCTAGGTACATGAAGGAAAAGATGATTGAGAAGAGCCAGTGTGACTGTCAAAGGCAAATGACATCTAGCCAACCTTACTGCCTTGTGTGATGAGATGACTGGGTCCGTGCATGAGGGAAGGACAGTGAATGATTTTACTTTGTCTTTAGCACGGTATTCTGCAAGATCTTCCATCTACCCCTAGTGAAAAAGTTGATATGAGTTGGATAAATGGATTACACGGTGCATAGAAAATTGGAAGGACTGCAAAGCTCAGATTTGTGATCAGTGACACAAAGTCCAAGTGGCATCTTATTACTATGAATGGAATAACCCCAGGCAACAGGACAGGCTTGGGGAAGAGAAAGCAATTTTCCAGAACAGAACTAGGAGTTAATAAGGCCAGACACACAGTTCAGTCAGCAGGTCGAGAGAAACGATTATTCCCCTCCGGACTTCTGAGACTGCATCTGTTTTTGGGCTCCCCGGTACAAGAAATACACTGACAGCCTTCAATGAAGGCCCACCAAATTGGTCATGATCTGGAGCACATTACATACAAGAAGAGGCTGAGAGAGCTGGGTCTGGTCAAACTTAAGTAAAGAAGGTTCCTGGGAGACCTTATTGCTGTCTCCAACTAGTTAACCAGAAGATGTGGAGAAAACAAAGCCAGCTTCTTGGAGGTGTAGAGTGACAGAACAAGGGGGAATAGATGCAAGACTCAACAACAGAAACTCTATCTAGGTATTATGGAAAAAAACCCAAACAATTAAGGTAGTGAAATACCAGAATAGGTTTTCTCCCTGGAGATATGCAGAGGTTGATTAGACAGAACCCTGAGCAACTTCAAACAGTTGGCCCTGTTTCAAGCAGGAAGTTGGGCCAGATGTCCTCTAGAAGCCTACACTACATTATTCTACTAATCTCTGAATAACTTCAATTAATTTTCATAGGTGGATTAATAGCTGATTTCAGAAGAGTCTGAAACAAATCTAACTTACATAATTTTTCTGTCAAAGAAAGTGTACAGTAGATGACTCACATGCCATAAAGGTTTTTTAGCACATTTGGGTGTATGCAGTCTTTTTTACTTACATTATTTTTGAATAAAAATCCCAATAAAGCTGACAATGTGTGGTATAATGTGACAGCATTATATTGTCAGGTATCTGGATGATACATAAAATATATTATTTCAGATGGCTGATTTTTCTGCACTGATATTTATCATTACCACTGGGACAAAGATCCATTATATACATAAGATGTTTACTTGTGTCACTCCAAAATTTTTAAATGAACTGAATATTGATTTTAACTTGTTACACTAAAAAAAACTAAAATAGAATTTTCAAGAGTAGAAGTCAAACTATTCTATGTAGCTTCAATCTAAGTTTGTACAATAATTTTCAAAAAGAAGTGTAAAATAAACTGCATAGTACCTAAACACTAAAACATTCACAAAAGAAAATGTGTAAGAAGTCCTTAATTGCTGAATAATCAGAATCTATTTAAAGTTTAGTTCTTATTATTTCTCACATTTACCCAACACAGTATCAAAAAGTATAAAAGCAGGAGAACTCCCTAGTCTCCTTTTAATTTTCTCAGTGTTTTAAGTGCTGGATAAAAGGTCAAAGCTCAGACCATAAACCATATCAATCCTGAAAAGACATTTTTAATAATACAGGATTTTGTAAGTCTTAATAATATCTAAAAGCTTATTACAATTAATTTCTTAAAGCAGCTAGAAGTCATTACATTCCCTTTTCTAGATTTTCTTTAAATACGCTTTCATGATATGTAACTTAATAGAAAATATAACTGAAGAGATATAACTAAACACAAAGCACTGATTTATCATAACTTCCTTAAATTCATTTAACTTTGAACTTGATGTATGACTCATAACCCACAGTGTTGCACACCTTTATAACCAATGAAAAATTTTACTGTATAACTACAGCTACTCTTTTCATAAAGCTGTTTATTTTAATAATAGTTCCTTAAATATAATCAACTTTTTGAGTATACTGCTGAATTAAAAAAAACAAAAAAAACATATTACTGTGAGATCATTGAACTGGTTCTACACAACACTGCTCAACTGTGAAGTCAACAGTTTCAGATGTTGTGCTGCACATCTCCACTGCTTACCCAGCCATCTCAAACAGAGAAGCAACTCAGTCCCAGCGATGAGCCCAAGCAAATCAACCAAGACAGCCTCCACAAGGAACTATGTTCTTTGGTTGTGAGCAATGGTTCTCATGTGCTCCCTGCATTTGTAGTTTTGAGGCACTTATTAATTCAGATACATCATCTTCTGAGCATATTGTTTCTAGACATGAACTGGATTTCTGAATGTAAGCAATGCTCAAGGTGATACGTCAGCATTATAAAAAGCATCATTCACACACAATAGTCTTTCCAGCACAGGACACACAAGGAATTAAGTGGAAAGACTCTCTTAATTAGCATGACTGGATGCAGTTATCATGAGTGGTTTTTATCTTTATTCTGCAAGCCTTTCATTAGTTATGATAATGAAGGCTCTACTACTTATTTTAGGTTACCCTACTTGTAGAGGAAACACTGTGATTATGTAGTACTAAAAACATCTCTGAAAATTAGGAGGTTTTCATCCTAAAATTTTTTAAGGCGCAAGTTCCTTTATGTAGTTAGAAATATCTTGTTCTGTCTTTTTACTGTTTGCGTATTTTTAAAATTTGAGATACCTACATTTTCTCAGCAATAACTGAAAAGCATATCATACAGAAAATAAATTCCATGGTGTCATCTGTAGTGCTAAATAGGAGAAGCATGTCTGGTAATGGTGAGAATTGCTTATTTTGAAAAGTCTGCGATTGTCTAAAGTGACTTGAAGTGCATTACAGCTATTGGTCATACATTCTTACGGGTTTCTCTGGACACATGTAAATGCTGTAAGTACAGGGCATATTCCAAGAAATAAATAAAAACTACTGTTGCTCTGCTGCATCATAAGGCACAGTTAAGTAAGTTAAAGAGTGTATTTAGTAAGACTTTTTTCCATACTGTACCTTTTCATCCAAAGCCTTGTGGTGCTCAAACAGAGATTTCAGAGCTTTGAGGACCTCAACTTCACTGGAAACTCCTGAGGGAGATTGTGCTTGCCGTTTCACCACTGTCATCCTCAGTGACCTCTCGTGTCTTGAGACAAGGCACTCCAAATGTTCCAGTAACAGCTATTGGAGTTGATATAAAAGGTTATTATTTTTTGTGGACTTAAATGCCATGGAAATTCTAACTATGAAGTGAATGGTACCGAATGTCAATTTTCTTGGCAACCTCATTGTAGGAGAGACTGCTGGAATTATTGACATTTCATGATTCTAAATCAGATGGGATAAATAGAAAAATAGGAAATCTACTCATGATTTCATTTAAAACTCTGCTATGAAAAGCAATAACAACAAATCACTCAGCATAAAGTCACTATTTAACTAAACTAAGTACATATTTGTAATATTATTTGCAATAGTAAGTGATGAGCATTAACAACCAAATAACAATCAAAGCCAATTTAAAGCATCATGCAAGAATACTAAAGGCTTTTATAATTAATTCACCCTAACTGTAATATATTTTTAATTTATACTGGAAGTTACTTAAAAAAACATGTAAAAGCAAAAAGTATATTTCATTAAATTTTTAAGACCATTCTAAATGACACAGCTAATGGCATTTGTCACTAGCATGCGCTCTAAAAATGTTAATTGTCTTTGTGGTATTACAAACATGATGGAAGACAAAAAGGTCTGTAAAGAGACATTTCAGGCTATTGCAAAAATCTGTAAAATAGCGTCTAAATAACCTATTGTAAAAACACATGATGATTATTTTTCATTATTACTCTGAGGTTAAATGAAAAATTAAAATGATATGTTGAAGTTGTATAGAAAATTCCCCATTTGTCTGTACTTTCATAGGGCTACCATTGCTGTTCTTACTGTCTGAACATGAAAGAGAATTGGTCAGCTGTAAGGTTAAAGCAGAATAGCTAAATTAATGAATCACAATGCATGTTAAATGTATTGCAATTACAACATAAAATTATATTTAAGTTATTGAACTGGAAATTTGAAAGTCATATGGATAATTGTTTATTATTTCTCCTTTGATGTGGTTCTTAATATAGATACTATTAGTAAAGATATATATTTATCTGCAATCCGTAGCTATTCTCAGACACATAATTACCTTTATTGTTATATGATTTAATAGACACAGAAGAGAAAAATCATAGTGTAATCGCATCATGATTGTAATATATTGCTATTAAGTCAGGAATAATTAGGGTTTGATGTTATCTTTGCTTCAAACATGGTTCTTCTGTCTGGATTTGCACCCGGTTGTTACGTTACAGTAACTGTATTATTCACAAAAACCACATATGCAAATAATGTTATTAGATTAAGAACTGTAATGACTCCATGCAGTTCAAGAAAGAAGGGTATTTCTACTGTTTCTTAATCCAGGTGACGGCTTGTACTTATCAAAAGCAAATGAGCAAGAAATTTGTGAGCTTTATCATCTGATCCTTGTAGGGCGGACAGCAGATATAGGTGGATTTTTAATTATTTGAGGCAGTCCAAAGTAACAGGAAATTCTGAGGAGATCTGTTCATCACAGAGGCATCAGGAACTTGATATGGCTCTGTAGTAAAGTTGTAATTCAGATGAGACCAGAACAGTTTCCTAATACCGAGTATTTCTGTTCACAGTGCATTTAAATTCACAGTTAATTGCTATGATAAATAGAACTGAATTTCTGAATTTTGGTCTAAATTCATATATCTTCCTGACTTTTCTAGGCCAACTAGTTTACCTAGGAGATAGCTGGAGGAAAGGAAGTCAATAGTTGATTTCTAATGCTACAACCTACTCTGCCCCATCTCTCCAAAGAGACTGTGTGGCTGCAACATTTCCTTTTCTCTGTAGCTGGACTCTACCTCACCCTGTAGCCCGAGGGTACCAGACTCTGACTCCAATCTATGCTGTGGACATATATTTCTCCACTGTTACTTCCACTCATTGTTTGATTCTGTTAAAGTCTGGCTCATCCTGCCCTGTTATCTGTCCAGTCTGCCTTTCTTTATGCAGAAATGCATCATAGCTACTTCTGGAACAGTCTAAATCCAGTCAAAATGCTACGAATTTCCGGAAAAATTGTGGAAAAAAAAAGAAAATGTTGAACTGCAGTTGAACTTTTAGCATGTCCATTCCTTCTGTAAGTCTGCAGCTGTCTGAAGCTCAAACTGGCACCCACTAAGAAAGTCCAGAATAACAAAACTTTGGTAATGATTTTTTGTCCTAATACTGAGAAAATTTATCTTATTTGATGCCCTACTACCCTAAACAACTTATCTACCAGACAGTGTGATGATGAGAAAGGAGAAATCTGGGAGCCTGTATGCAGGTCTTAGTTGGAAGGGAAAATGAGAAAATCTGGTTTAGGAGAGAAGGAAAATGATGGTGACACAGAATTCGTGACATGGAAAAAACTTTAATGACAGAAGGAATTATGCATAACCTATAGCACAGAGATAAATAAGGAACACAGGAAAAAAAAAACAATATAAATCCAGCACCTAATTTTCAACTTGTGTAGACAGACAGTCTTGACAGGTAATTTGAAGTCAGCACAGACAGAAGAAAGATAAGATCCTTACTAAGAGAAGGAAGAATGGAGATTGCAGAGAGTGATGAAGAGAGAAAAAAACAAACAAACAAGGTTTCGAAGTATAAGAAGAGAGCAGAGTGGTGGGAACTCAGATTTTCTAATGGGGTGATTGTGGAGGAGTTTACTATGCGGGATGAGCAGTGCAGCACCCTAGCCCTTTGTAGAGCAGCAGCTAACATATTTAACTTTAGGTTAAGTTACTGACATGTTTGAAATGTGCGTAATATATAAAAGTAAACCAATGAAAGTCACCCATTTAATATACACAAAAGCTAATTTTGCCTTTAGCTTAGACTACCATTTTAGAGCTGACAAAACCATATTTTAATGTCTTATATTTCATAGTCATTAAATAAATCAAGTGCAATATATCGTGTAGCCTATTTTACTACATAAAAGCAGATGAGCTGATGTCACAGCTAAGTGTCCAAATACTCATTGAGAATTACTGCACTATGTATGAACATATAATGCCTTTTCTTACTGCTCATATTCACTCAAGCTACTCAGCTAGCAATAGTTCATTTTTCTGGAAACTATCTCTGAACACTGTAATTCCCCTTACTGTCAGCCCTAAGAAAACTCAAGAAGGTGTGCTGGCACAGGTTTGTAGCTTATGGAAATTTCTTTTTTTTACTTTTCAACAATAGTCAACTCTATTTCTCCACAAATTCTGTGAGCACTGCTTACAGCAAATCCAGCTGAGCAGAGAGTATTATTAACCAGGTCTCCCAGTGCCACATTATTCCCAGACATGCTGACAGGGAAGAATAACACAAGGGTTAGAACTGTTCTCTGATAGGCTTGCCCCCTGCTCTGCTGAAATGATACTGCTATTTTATCCATCTTTGGTCCTGTCCTGGTTTTGCTAGAGTTTGATAGAGTTAATTTTCTTCTTAGTAGCTAGAAAGCATGGTGTTTTGGTTTCAGTATGGGATTTGTTATGAGAAGAATGTTGATAAGGTACAAGGACACCATGTTTGGGTAGTTTGCAAGTGCAAAGGACTGGGAAAGGGGAAATGTAGTAATCAGCAAACCCCAGAACTGGCATTTGTATATGCCAATAAGATATTCCACATTATATTACGTCATGTTCAGTACATTAGTAAGGGTTGACCAGAAAGTAAGGGAATTCTCTCAGGAATTGTTCAGGCTTGCTCTCCTGGGATTGCAGTTTGGGGTTCGGGGTTCCTTTTTCACTCCTCCGGGACTGCTATCAGCAAGTGTTAAGCAATTGTATTGTGTATCACACTTTTATCTATCTATCTTTCTAAAATCATTACTATTTTAATATTATTTTACATTATTATTAAATTGTTTTTATCTCAACCTACTGGTCTCCTGACCTTTATCCCTCCAATTCTCTCTCCTGTTCCCTGAGTGGGAGGCAGGGAAGGAGGGGTGCAAGTAGCTGTGTGGTGTTTGGCTGCCAGCCAAGTTAAACTACCAGAGGCCCAAATAAAATGCTGGGAAGAACAAACATAAGTACTGACAGAACTATGAAGTATCTCTTTGCTACAATTATGGGGGAAGGGAGATATAGACATAAAATTGACATTGAAGATAATGGTGTGTCCAAGCAATGTTTAATAACTGAAGGAAATCACAATAACTTGTGGGCATGAGAGTATGTTGAGAACTTACCTTCCCAATATAATTAAAGAATTACTATTCCAAACATTTGTGAGAACACCACAAGATTTCACGCCGAAATAACATTGTAACAATATCAGTAGTTCATTTAAACTACAAAAGAATTGTTAGACACAGCTTTAGTCATTTTACTATCTTGCAATTAAACTCTAGCATTAAAAAAGATCATGTGCTGCTTAGTATTTTCTGCTTCCTCACACCGTGTCAAGCTGCTACAGTTGTCCAGCACTCAGAGGGACAGGTACCTTGCAAAGAAGATGAAGATCAACAGCAGCAGGTGGGACAGAATCGCCCATGCATCACTGCTATGCTTTTCCTACTGGAAAGCGTAAGATTGACACTGAATTATGAAATAATCTGACAAGTGAGTTTTACTCTTATGCTGGGCAAATTTTAGGATCCTCAAGATGACGTGCTGATAATTGTATCTTGGCTAGATGTGATATAGGTTTCTGGAACTCTGGACTCTTCATAAGCACAGAGAATGTTTAAAAATAATCATTTTAAGACTGAAAAATACTCTAGTATATATTTTGTGAGTGAATGAAGCATCTTTAAAATGCTAATTAGAAGTAAATCAACCAGAACAGAGAAATTAAAATATACCCAGCTTCCTATATTTCTCAAATCACTTCCAAAGCACTTACGGAAGTGATTGATTTAGGTGAAATGAAAATGCATAGTTAAATTTAAAAATATAAACTACATGTGTGTAGGTTATCACCTATTTGTATTATATTATACTATCATTACTACATAGACAGTGACTTATATATGGAAAATTTAAAAAGTTAAAACTTTTTTTTAGGGATGATGACTCAGTCAGCTGAAATTAGTGTGACTCAACAGTTTGTATTACTAAAGGACCTGGATTTTAATCAATATAAACTATTTTATCTTAACTTTATTTTCAACAAACCGGTTTATAAAAAAAGAGAGTTCACAGTAGGATAATAAATGGAGGAATCAGGAGAGTGATGGAGAGAAAGAGAGTCATAACAGTGGAATGCAGGGAAAAACATAAAAGGTAAGAGATTACTAAAATAGGACAGACTTAGCTTAAGTGATTCCTTAGAGAAATGGGGCAACCCATTGAGAAGACAATTATCTTTTGAGGTCTAGCTTAAAATTTCTCACCAGCACAGGCAAAATCTAATTTCCTTTCAGTCTACATTTAAAATGTATATTGTTCAGTAAATCTCCATCTCTGGTGCAAGCAAAGAAGACAAGTAAAATAAGCAGATACAGAGCTGAAGATTATCTCTAAAACCAGTCACAGAATCAGTCACTTTCTTCAGCATTGTTCCACAGTGGTGGAAACCAATTTGTACCTGTGGTCAGCTGGGGTGACCTCAAATAGCTATAAGGGTAGATTACTGGTGAAAATCTTCCTTTGAAAAAACAAAGTTACAGCCTAACTACAGCATATGTCCCATGTCTGTCTTTCTGTACAGCCAAGACAGAAAATAAAATACTGGCAACCTAAAACTTCAATGGAAACACACATAAGTGAAGCAAGAGTATGAAAGAAAACATAATAATCAGGATAATGATACAAGGTAATAGAAATGAAGAAATTTTTTTTATGAGAATAATTAATACAAATATAATAACAACTATTAGATTATACAGTGTCTGAAAATATTGGTATTAAATTACTATGTATTATATACTGCTATCTGTTGTCACCTTGTTTTCTGTGACAGAAGTTCTTACTTTGAAAGAAGAAACACATGAGTCTAGTAGATAGGTTATAATGTTGAGGAAAAAATGAGAAAATTACTGTAATCTACATTAGTGAAGTAATGTTTTTGCCTTTACAGATCATTAGGAAACAGTTATTTTCATGTGTATGATGCCTTCAGACTATAAGATATCATGTTACAACGTTTAAAAAAGAAAAAAAAGGGCCTGGTTTAGTTTCAGCAACTATCAAATTGATGTAAGTAAAAGGATCTCTATGAAAATGAGCTAAATAAAGGAGTTAAAATTAAATTTTCAACTATATTTTTAATGTTTTCCAACACAATAAAAGGGAAATTTAATCATAAAATATAGGGTTAAGTTCTAATCTACGGGTACATGAGGCTGCAGTGCCTAATTGAAGATGTTTCATAAACCATTCACTAAGGAACTGAGATAATAAAATATGAATAAAATCTAATCTAAGTCAGCCTTGTTCACTTTAATAAATGCTTCAACTCCTTAGGTATTAAGTAAAAGAAAGACGATGATCCTGTCTTTGTTACTGCTATTTCATTCATGAACACGGGTTTAATATTTCTTGTTTCTAAAACTGCTTGAATGAAAATATTGCAGACCAATTTAAGTAACATTTTATGCTATAGATGAAAAACATATGTATGTGTCTGGTTTTCTACCATAGCAAAGAAAACACAATCAGATTAATCCATATTAGTATTTTAATAAATTTTTTGTTTCAGCTGAGAAACCAAACACCAAATTTCCTCATAAATATATTCTAATTTCCTAAGTTAATCCTACAAACATTTTTTACTTTTAAAGAATACAGAGTGAGATAAAAATAACTTAAAATTTTAATTTAAATCTAGCACAGACAGATTAGTGTTATTTTATAATTTCTGTTAAATAATACAGTAGATCACATTGTCCTGTGCTCCAGAAAAGATGCTGTCTTTCCATATGCTATAGATGATCATTCTAGCTAGAGAATATCCAGAGAAATAACTGCAACATTTTCTATTAAGATATTTTTCTCTATGTTTTTAAAGGCCCATGCAATGATTTTACAGAGAGAACCTTTTTGTCTTCCTGGCACCAATGCCACACCAATCAATACATATATATATATGCTCCTATTTTCTATTTTGCCTTATGTACTGACAGATTAAGTTGCCAGCTAAGTTCTTGACATGAAAATATTTCTACTGTAATATGTCAGAAAAAAATATCATAGGCTGTAAAAATACATATTCAAGACCAAAAGATAAATAGGGATCTTTGCTTAAGAATACTGCTAGAATGATTGAGTAGGAACTTGATTAAATATTGGGGTGAGGCTTAAACTCTGGTATTTTGGCTGAGACCTGGAGTTTATGGGTCCTAAAGAATGTAATTCCAGCTTGCTCTCTCTTGAACATATTTTACTGTCAGGGTCTGACACTGCAGTTTAGCATAGAGTGGTAAATCAGGAGGTGTGTTGTTTGTTTTTGGGGTTTTTTTGTAGATACTGGAAAAAACTTTACGAGGTTGCTGCCAAGAAATAAACACACTGGTGTGGGTCTATAATAAAGAAAAACCTGCCAGTTAGACATAACTGAAAATGTAAAAGGAACCTAGAAGCCAAGAGATGGTTGTACTCAGAACCCGACAGACTTTTATTTCTTCTTTATGATCTTCAGCTTGAAGAAGTAGATACTTCAAATAGTGTCTTTATGCTGTTGTCCCAGGAAGATAAAAGGCTGGGTTAAAAAATTTAGAAATAGCAATCTGAGAATATGGGACTGAGCTGCTTTATTTAAAAGTAATAGGAAGTGCTACCTGGGACAAATATGGTTTTATTAAGTAGTTCCACTACTTGTGGTTATGCATGAGAGTGTCCTGGGATGGCAGGTAAACCTTGCTCATGTAGCTAAGCTGGGTTAAGAGGGATCACCAGTGGGATGGAAGAAAGAAGCATTAGTTGGACTAACTTTATATATTAGAAAAGGCATTTAATTTTCTAATTGGAAAAGTGTATCAGTGATCCTCCAAAAAAAATATTATTTTACTAGAATCTTTGCTTAAATAAAAGAAAAAATTTGGAGCAAATTTTTCTTACAAAATTTTAATGCTCTTTCACATCAATAACAATATAAATTCAGTTTGTGAAAGTGCCTCTTTATAGGAATGAATGAATATATCTCAATGAATGTTGATAGAAATCTCACCACTAGCATGTCATCAAGACTGTATTACAAAGACAACAGATTTGCATCTGAAATGCTGGTCTTTCACTATAAGAGAAGAGTACAAGAGCCTATAGAAGACAGCATGACTACTACAGGAAACTCTGGCAACTAATTTAGTATATGGCAGCTTAGGACCTAGCAAGAACATACGTATGGCACAATGGAATGATAACTTATTAATGAAAATGCTAGAGGTCAGAATAAGGTATGTCTCAGAATTTTTTCTCTCTCCTTCCCCATTAATACCTGGACTATATATTTCTCTCTTGTTTACCATAAAATTTCCTGCATTTCTTTCATTTTTTCATAGCCTAAATCTTTTCATCTCCAGTACCTAGCTTCATCTGCATTCTGAAAACAGACTTACAGACTCTGCTAATTTTAACTGCAAGGACTTCTCACAAAGATTATCATGCTCTATAACTCTAATTTGTTGGTATTAGTTCCTGGAAAATCTCTGATTTTTCTTATTTTTGCCTTAAACACTAAAATAACTGATATATGTAACAGTTATTGATAATTTAAGCAGCTGTAGAAAGTCTTCACATTTGTAGTTGAGAAGGTTTGCTGAACCTAAAGAATGTAGTGCAATTCCTACGTGCTTCTCTGTGAAGTAATTCTATTTTTGTGGAAGCAATTTTGGACTGTTTGGAATGTATGAAAGTCATGGGAGATAAAGTGGGTCTCACCTATGTCTCCCATCACATTTCCCAAACCCATCATCTCCAAGACCTTTATGTTAAATGTTGTCAGCTCTTGCACCTTCAAGCTAGCATGGAGGTAGATGGGGCAGCTTTGCCTCTTTGTAGGCATCTGTATAATCTGTCCCTCCTTGGATTTCTGAAGTCTGTGGCACCCTGGTGATACAGCTGCACAGAAGAAAGGAAGAAGAAAGACTCTCTCTCAGTTCTTTTGTCATGTACATTATTAGATTTCCTTCAGAATGACCAAGGAAGGACGTCATCTGAGCAGCCAAAGTGCTATTACTTTAGTGAGAGGAGGAAAACAGGAAGCGTTACGCAGATCATAGAAGAATGAAATATGGATGTGAGAATACATCCTTGGTATTCAACCTCTCTGACTCCTGTTTGATCTAGGATCACTCCACCTTTTTTGTCACACCTTTCCACGCTCCATAAAGCCTCCTCTGCTCCCCTCTTCCATTCATTCATCAATTCTGCCTTCACACAGACACTTGTACTTGCAAATTATTTTCTTCAGAAAACCATTCTGTACATCATTTGAGAATTTTCAGAAGATGCTACTACATATTCTTGTTCCCTGAAAGAATAATATCTTCTCATTGAAGTAGAACACAGTAAATTTAAGGGTGAAATCTTGTCCTCACTGAGCTGCAGGACAAATTACATTTACTTCAAGGGTCACATGGCTGCATCTAGACTAAACAGCAGACTCACTGTGATAGGTGTGGTAGCCTTCATCTCATCCTTATTTAGATCAAATCCAAGGCACAAGGGAAAGCTGGGTCTGTTGTAATCTTGCCTTTTGCCTTGATAAGAGATGAGGATATGTGCAGGCTACTTATTCAGGCCCTGGGGCTTGGAAGGCTGCGTGAGGCCCTTGCTTTAGAAAACATTTAAACTGAATGTACTTACCATGGTACATACAAAATCTACTATTTTTCTAATATGTCTTGCTAATCCTTACAGTCATTTCCTCCAGGACTGTAGCATGATAGGTAAGTCCAGTTACTTAGAATGTTCAAAGTCTCAAATATCTACTCAAAGGCTGGAATTTTGTCTTCCTATTTAAATAAATAAAGGTCTAAATTTATATATAAGTATATTCCTCCTCTTCTAAACACACATGACATCCAGAAAAGGTCTGCTGTGTACTTACTCTTGTGTTGTTTCTTTCTGCTTTCAGTTCTGAAATCTCCTCCTCTTTTTCAAGCAGCTGTTCCCTGCATGCATTTAATTCTTTTGTCAGTGCGGCAAATTCCTGTGGAATAAAATTATATATTAAGTTACTCAAGATGTAAGCACTAGAATAATCAAATCCATATGCATTTTAGAGTTTGAGGATTTAAATAATATTTAGAAATCATCAACACAAACTAAAATAGCATATGTAAG